ATCAGCTGTCTCCTGCACACCCCCTACTGGGTATGTGCCCACAACCAAGGTACATGCCCTTGACCGGAATCGAACCTGGGACCCTTGAGTCCGCAGGCCGACGCCCTATCCACTGAGCCAAACCGGTTAGGGCTGGCCTACTACTTTTTGGTGGTTCTTTCACGCACCTCCCAGAGTTTCACTCTTCCACTGCACAGATCAATTCCCAGGCAAAGATATAAAGCAGGGATGGGGAACATTTTTTCTGCCAAGGGCCATTTGGATATTTATATCATTCACGTGCCATACAAAATTATCAATTTAAAAATTAGCCTGCTATATTTGGTCAAACATTTAATTAACTCACTCCAAATGCCTTTGCAGGGCCAGACCAAATGATTTCTCGGGCCTTATATGGCCCGGGCCGGGCATTTCCCACTTCGGTATAAGGGAAAAGGTTCACCTGGGAAGACCTCCAAGACTCTGTGCCACTTCCTCCTCTCTGATACCAGCCCATCAGCTTCTCTGAATCTCCATCTCTGTCTCCTGCATTTGGTGAAACCACTAGTCTCTGTTTAGGTTCCCCTACCGGCTCTATGACCTGAACTCCGGTTCTAGGCAGTAAGCTGGGATCACTATAGGACTTACCTTATTTTTTTATTTTTATTTTTTTGTTAATCCTTACCCGAGGATATGTTTCCAATGATTTTTAGAGAGAGTGGAAAGGAGGGGGAGAGACAGAGAGAAACATTGATGTGAGAGAGACACATCACATGCACCCTGACCAGGGCCGGGGGGATCAAGCTGCAAGCAGTACATGCCTGAACCTGGGACCCTTCAGTCAGCAGGCTGACACTCTATCCACTGAGCCAAACCAGCTAGGGCAGGACTTACCTTAGTTGTTTCTCTTCTTTCAGGATCACAATTCAGTATTTAGATATTCTCCAATATCTAAAAATAGTTGTTTTCAGTAGGAGGGCAATCTGCCGAAGCAAAAGTCCAAATATAACTGTTAAAACCTATTTAAAAAAACCGAATTGTGTTGTTTAATCTTAATCATACTCAAAACTAAAAAAAAAAAAAAAAAAAAAAAGCCCTTCATACTATAGTAATAATAGTAAAGGCTGTTGAAAATGTTCTCTATGGTAGCTATTATCTCTAACTTCCCATGCTTTAACTGGGTATATTCTGGCTTCTACCCTCCACTTCACTGAAAGAGCTCTTATCACACCATCTATAACCATCTAATTGCTCTAAAGAATATATTTTAGTCTATTTTTTACTTGATTTTATACAGTTATGCAATCCAATATGGTAGCCACTATCCACATGGAGCAAGTGAGTACCTGAAAAGTGGCTAGTCCAAATTGAAAGGTACTGGAGGTATAAAATACACACCAGATTTCAAAATAACTTAGTATTTAAAAAAAAGGGCTATAACATACTTTATTAATAATTTTATATTAATTACATGGTGAAATGATAATGTTTTAAATATATTGGGTTAAACAAAACATATTTATAAAGTAATTTACCTATTTCTTTTTAAACTTTCTAATATTACTACTAAAAAATTTACAATTACATATGTGACTCTCATTGTACATCTAAAGGCCAGTACTGTTCTGCAGCAACCTCTCCCTCTCATACTGCTAGAGCCCTGCTTTCAATTCTTGCCTTCCTTGGTAGGTGGGACTTTGCTCTGCCTTTGTTTTCTGGCTACCCCACTGCCTCTTCCTTCTGCGACTTCCTTTGAGATCTAAATCTATTGTTTGCAATTTTAGCATGCTGCAAAATTGTGTAATTGCTTGCCAACATCTCAGATTCTTTCTTTTTTTAAAAATATATTTTTATTGATTTCAGAGAGGGTGAGGGAGAAGAGAGATAGAAACATCAATGATGAGAGAGAATCATTGATTGGCTGTCTCCTGCACATCCCCTACTGGGGATCAAACCTGCAACTCTGGCATGTGCCCTTAACTGGAATTGAACCCAGGACCCTTCAGCCAGCAGGCTGACACTCTATACACTGAGCGAAACCAGCTAGGGCTCAGATTCTTTCTTGAAGCTTATCTGTAAAGACTGATCTAGTATTAACATTTACCAAAACGGATCTTCAGCTCAAATTCCTCTCATCGCCTTCCTCTTCTTTCCAATGGCATACTGTGCATCTTTACTTGGCTGTCTTAGACTTAACATATCCAAGGTTTAATTCCTTCTCTCTATTCTCCATAACCCATTTCTCCTTTTGTCCTCCCAATTACCCAAGCCAGAACCCTAAAATTATTCTCTCTTTCTTCCTCACATCTATAGCTAATCAGTTACTAAGTAGCCTGCTTGCTCTCTATGCTTTCTTAATTCCCTTAGTTTGGGGTATGTCAATCTTGGCACTGTTGAAATTTTGAACCAGATCATTCTTTTGTGAGGGGTTGTCTTCCACAACATAGCATGTTTAGGAACTCCCCTGTCCTCACCCCACTAAATATCAGTAGCACCCCCTAGCTGAAAAAAAAAATGTTTCCGACATTACTAAATGTTTAAGGAAGGGGTAGGGGAAGGAATCATCTCACCCCATAGAGACACTGAGTTGATGGAGGACATCATTATTAATCTCTGCATTAGGGCAAAAGAGAACTGGCTCTCCTGCCCAGTACTGTACTTCTTCCCTATTCTCCATACTCCTCACAATTTTCCACTTCAGTTCAGAATAAAGTTTAGTATCTCTAATACGACATAAAAAAGCATTATCTGTCCTCTACTTACCTTTCTCAGCTTCCCACTTCAGCTATACTGAATTCCTTGCAGTTTCCTTAGGGATGGATGAAAGTCATAAGAAGTGTTAGTCAGAAAAAGTGTTAAGTACACTGGCAGCTTATGAGATAAATGCAAAATTTATAGGATGTTTTATATAGAGAATATGAGTAAGCATGTATTTTGTGAAATATAGGCAGAATTCCATTAAATATACATAGTGAGTACACTGTAAGGCATCCCAAGTTAAAATAAGTTGAAAATATCATGGAACAGAGGGACATTTATAATAAAAACAAAAAAGGGGGGGGGGACGGGCAGAAAAACTAAGCTATGAATAATTATGCCATCTCTGGGCTGACAGCTATGTCACCACCAAATCATTCATCCAGAGGTGACACCTAGTATAATCTCACATGTGCTCAATCCCAAAAATAAATAAATAAATTAATTAATTAATTAATGCAAATAAACCCATGTCTGTTCAGGCTAATTAGAGAGCCCTGGTTGTGGCCAGTCATGTTTCCCAGCACCTATCCAACAGAGCAAGCATGTGGGCCTCCCTTCTGTGACCTGAACTCTGGTCCTCATAAGCATATCATCAATGGAAGAGGTTGATTGAACATCTGAACGTTGTTTAACTCCAGATCCAAGTGATGTCCTTCCACTTGTTTGCATCCTATCCTAAATGTGTCAGTGTATTCCTACTCTTTTCCCTTGCTTTTCACTGGGCATTAAAATGGAGTCCATAAACCATTTTATTCAAGCATCTTCATTTGGTCTGTGAGTCTTCTATTTCATTACCTCTAGGACAGCTTGCCTCGCAGCAGTTTGCCTGAAAGCCCCCATTGCATCGGGTTAGTTTTCCACAGGACAGCTCAATTCAAGCAATAATCTCCTCTCAGAATGCCTCTGCCTTAGTAATCCTCATTTTACCCTGTTCATGTTCTGTGTTTCCATTGTGGCATTTATCATGCCACCCTGGGGTTAACGCTTGACTCCTTTGTTTCTCTCTCTGGCCTGTGAGCTCTTTGAAAGGAGGGGTAAGTTTTACTCGTTTGTCTCATTTTCTCTTAGCAAAGTGCCAACCATAAAGTAACTGCTAAAAAAGCTACTGCATGTGACCTCCGGAAGAAACAGTTGAATGGGTTATCTGCTGTTTTTGCCTTTCTCTCATTCCCCAGTTCTAAGACTGGTGTAATAGGGTGAGTAGCAAAACCCTGCCAGCTTGCACGGAATCAAGGAGGTGGTGGAAGAGCCGTAGGCTCCCTGCAGGGAACAACCTACATTAAGTGCGTACAGCATTACTAGCAAGCTCGGGCCTTGGTGGACTGTATCTCCCTGTCTCACTTTTTTTTTTCCTTCACTAGCGTGGCTACAAAAACAGTACTGGGGGGCTGGGAGGCTTTTCCCTCCACCTCCCACCTGAAAATGGTTGAAGGCTGAGTCCCTTTAGCCTAGCAGTGGTTCTCAACCTTCCTAATGCCGCGACCCTTTAATACAGCTCCTCATGTTGTGGTGACCCTCCCAACCATAAAATTATTTCCGTTGCTACTTCATAACTGTAATTTTGCTACTGTTATGAATCGTAATGTAAATATCTGATATGCTCTATGTGTTTTCCGATGGTCGCGACCCACAGGTTGAGAACCGCTGGAAGGGGTCTTGAGCTCTCAAAGATGCTAAATGAATGAAATCCACTCTAAAATGAATGAGTACCTAAACTGTGGCAAACATTAGAGATACAAGAGAGTGATTTCTCCCCTCAAAACATTTACAAGCATCTTCTCGGAGCCCATATTATACACAAAGTAATAAACACCTATTTTTTTTAATAGTTTAAAAAGAGATGCATTTTGGAATACTTTTAGCTTGAATAAAATTAATGAAATAAAATGTGAGACCTTAAATAAAGGGTCTGTTCTTGAGGTCCTTTTAACACATGCCCTTCTACTCCACGGGTTAGAAAGACTGGGGTGCAAACATTTGGCTTCACGATCAGGCGTCAAGATTCGCGGACAGAACCCAAGCTAGCCAAACCTGCACCTGGGAAGAGGCGGCCCCCGGGACCGAACAGTTCCCGAAAACAACAACATCTCGCCAGCGAAAGAAGCAACTGTTGCCTCACCTTGAATCATTCATTCGCCGATTGACACCGCCTCGTCCTTTCCGCCGCAGGGGGCGCCCGGCTCCTTCCGCTCTAGGCTCCCCCCGCGTCGCTCTCTATGGTCGCGCCGGGCCCCTCTAGCTCTCGCTCGCCGTCCTCTCGGTGGTAGTGCGAGGGCGCGCCGAGAAGTAGGCCGTGGAGGTGGTGGTGCGTGGTTACAAGTTCTGTGCGAACCCGGCGGCGGAGCTCGCGCTCAGGTGGAACGGGCCGCGGGGGAGGTTCTGGGAGGGAAGAAGCGGGGGCGTGGGCGGGGAGACGGGTCCCTGGAAAGGAGGGAGACTCGGGCCGGGTCACGGAGGCC